CTTGACGGCTTACTCAGGCTTCTTGGACACTGCCCCCCCCCCATTCTGGCACCTCTACTTTCACAACTCAGTACCGTACCGTTGCTGCGTTCAAAAGCAGTGAGTACTTTATTTGGGCGCTCAACGAACCAAGCTGAGAGCTACTGTATGTTTCATCTATATGCGACAGTGAAGGAGAAAATCAAGAGAGACTACAGACATATACGCAATGGAATCTTGTTGGGGCATAAACTTTAACGCAATTGTGATAAGTCGCAATTTGGACGATTTTATCCCCTTAATCCGCATCATGCCGACAACAGCTATGCTCTGATTGGTATAGAATAGAGGCTACATCGACTCTCGGTCATCTATGATTGAGCCAAAGAAAGATCGAAAATGGCATAATGTACTGCTCACACTTACAATCCTTCAAAACGATTAGGCTGCAGAAGTTCTCGAGGCTAGTGAGGTTCATTGTTCGCTCTCTGATTCGGCGTCTTCTTTCTATGGTCGCTGAGGTAGCAAAATGGATAGTCCATCTATCACAACTTCATAACAGTACCCTCTGGCATAATAATCACTAACCAAAGACCACTTGAGCCGCTATAGAGGCAAACTATTGAAGAAGAGGCGCCCGCTTGGATTAAAATAATAATGAATTCTAGAAGTTGAAAGCGTACTAGGACGATAGCCTTGTCAGCGTCCAACGCGCGTTCTGCAACTTGTTCGGCCATTGAAACGTACACGAATGGGGATCAAAACGTGCGTGGAGTTTCAGTAATTCTTTTTGAGTACAACTTCGGTCGTTGAAAACCTCGCACATAGTGTGCTTTTACATAAATTCTCTTTCACAATGAGTATGTTTTGTCCTACACCAACACCCCTCTTATCGAACCCACAGCCTTCGAATCAGTTGAAACATATCTTTATCACTTGCCGCCACTCGCGCCTCCCATGTTCATGCCATGTAACTACTGCTTGTTAAGAGCAACTTCTGTGAGAAGAATTTAGTGACGCTGTCGCCTCGTATACGTTGACAGAACATACTGCTGCAAATACTAACAAACTACTGCAAGGGTCTACACACTACATAAGGCGCACAATGTAGCGCGAAATATCCTTTGAAAGGACACTAATCCAGCCCGCAGCTCCACACACTTTCGCAATGTTCCCAAAAATGTGCCCGAGCCGAGATCTCCATAGCTGCAGAAACTTTACCATGTACTCCAGATAAAATGAAATATGTAACATACACTCACTAATGCTGCATTCCTGGTAGGTCGTCCTGTTAAGGGACGCCTAAAATGGCTCCAAATATGGCCGACGACACTGGCGCACGAAACGCTGAAAGATCTATACCACGCTGACGAACATTTCCTCAGGTTTTTCCAGAGGAATCGTGCCATCATCGACCGCTCCTTCCTCTTCTTCATGGGTGATCATGGACCGCGAAGAGACGGTGTGAGATTTCTTCACTTTTCGCCTTCTGCACAGCTTCTATGAAATATCACCCTACTCACTAAAGTTTTTTTCAATGAGTAAATTATCATGAAAGAGTGCTGGTGACCTATTCAATTTGAGGGGGTTTTGCAGTTAATACATGAGTCGGCGGAGGTGGTTTTGTGGCGAACGGCGCCGCTTCCCGGCTTAGGGCACTAATCCTGGATCAAATCTCGCCAAGCCCCACCGAACTATTCTTTCCTCTA